CTTTCTTCCTTTCTTCCTTTCTTCCTTTCTTCCTTTCTTCCTTTCTTCCTTTCTTCCTTTCTTCCTTTCTTCCTTTCTTCCTTTCTTCCTTTCTTTCTTTTTTTCATGTCAGTTGGGTAATGTGCTGACATCATAACAAGATTTCTGGGAGGCACATCTCACCTATGCACATGAAAACCCAGTCATCACGCTTATGAACTACAAATGGATCGGTCTGGGTTTTCTATAAAGAGGATTAAGAGCTGGAGTAAAGGAGGTGGGAAAAATAAAGATGATAAGTTGGCGTTTTAAAAGGGAGGGGATGTTGTGAGGGGTAAGTAGATACGTGGCAGGTAAGCTTCTGAGCCTCCAGGAAAAGGAGACACGTGGCTGCCACCGCTTGGAGGCAAGGGGGCAGATAGGGCTGTGCATTCTATCTGTTTTGAGAGGAATGCTATTGGGAGGGGATTATTATGAGGTTTCTCTGTTAGGATCCGTATCGCACATCCTTGGTGTTCTGACTCTGAGAGGTAAAATGGACAGCAGGAATCAGGGAGATGGAGGGAGAGTACTTAGGACAGAGAGGACTGTAGGGAGAGGAAGGAACTTGACCGAAGCTGGTGTGGGTGTAGGTGGTGGGTTGCGGAACCTTTAGCAGCAGTGCATAGAGGTTGAGCCCAGGCTGTGAAATTAGGAATCTAAAGTATCCTAGAACCCCCAGGAAGGAGAGGAAGTCATTTTTTGTTTGGGGAAGGGGTAAGGAGGAGATGGCCTGAATGCGGTCGGGAGAATGAGTTTTTCTCGTTTCTGTAAGAGGATGCTGAAGTATTGGACAGAGGGAGAGGTTAGCTGGGCTTTGGAAGGGGACACTCTATACCCCTTGGCGGAGAGGAAAGGAGTAAGTGAATGGTGTTTTGCCAGAAGACAGTGGGGGAGGGGCACATAAGGGAAGGTCATCTACGTCCCCAAGAACTGTGGATTTTTTGGTAAAGTTAACTGCCGGGGGCAGCCTGAAGTGCCTGACCAAAGTAATGAGGACTGAATCTAAATCCTTATGGGAGAACTGTCCAGGTGAGTTGTCAGTTGGTGGAGGAATCAGGGTTGGTCCAAGTGAAGGCAAAGAGGGGTTGGGAGCGCTCACAGATGGGGAGGGTAAAAAACTGTGTAGTGGGAGGTAGAAAAAAATGAGATCAAAGCAAAGATGGAAAAAGAACTTATAAGGGGGACGAGGAAGGAAGTGGCCGAGGCTGGGGCCAGGGAGGTTATCAGGCATCCCTGAAGGATCTTTAACCAGCTTGAAAAGAGTGGTCCAGGCCCATGGCAGGGCGTCCCCACACACAAGGCACTGGACAGGCAAGTCTGACTCCCAGGCTTAGTCCCTGACTGGCGCCAGGTTTGGGTGGCCCAGGCTACCAGGGAAGAGAAGCTAAAAAGGCTCAGAAAGGGAGGGGCTGTAGATGTATGCTCACCTCACTATTAAATGGATGAATTCCTGGCGGGGGAGAGAGGGGTCCCCTGTTCCCCTTCCTCTGGTGGTCTGTCTAGTTGGGAGTGGATCCAACAAGTGTATCTCCCTCCCCCGCCTCAGGGGGCTTCTCCCCGTCCCAGGTTCCCAGCACCAAAATGAGGGAGAAAGAACTGGAAATGAGAGGTTATTCCGAGACATGAACAAGAGGAAGTGGAGTCCAGGTTCTGTGTGGGCAACACGGCCTTTCTTCACTTAGGTGAGAGCTGGCTGCGTTGATAAAGAAGCCAGCACATAGGTTAAGGCAGGCGGGAATATAAGAGTTAGGGGGGTGGGGATTGGCATACTCATTCCTTCCTGGGCAGGTGGTTCTATTTGGGCAGGTCCCGACATTTGGCCCTACTAGGTAGGCAGACATGACACAGCTGGTCTGGTCATTTTAGTTCCTAAGTGACCTTCACTTTCTGTCTCTCCTTCTTACCATTTTGTAAATTTAAGTCCCACCCTAAAGGTGCCCATCTTGAATAGTTTAGGAATTAACTTTTAAATTGGAAATGTTGTAATAGACTGCTACTGAGTTGTGTTGATTATTATTTAAAATAAAGTTAACTGTGGTCTTTGCTTCAGGAAGATTGATTTAGGAAATTAACTTTTGAATTAGAAATGTTATAATAGATTGTCACTGAGTTGTGCTGATTATTGAAAATAAGGGCGCTTGTGGTCTTTACTGTGAACCATTATGTATAAAACTGAAATTCTTCAAATAGGAGAAGACAGTCTTGGAGAGCTACTCTCACTGGTCTCCAGAATTGTTGGCCTTCTGACAAATAAAGTTTGGTGGACCTATCCCTGTCTCTGCATATTGGCGTTATAACAGTGACAGGTGGCCGGACCCCCTTTGTCCAGTAACAGTTTCTTTGGTGTGCTTCTAGAAATTTAAATAGATATTAAAGGTAAAGATTAGATTGAATGTCTTTCTTTGTTTTAGGAGAAAAAATTCTGTACACAAACGTAAGACTATCCCTTCTGACAATGGATTTTTCTTTAGTTTTTAGTTTTTACTTTGATATCTCTGATATTGAATTTTTTTCTGTATTTTTTGGTGGGTGCATCAAGAGTGTCTAAATATCTACCTTGGGCAATATTTGGGTGGAAGGGAAAAAAAAAAGACCCAGAGAACTCTGACAAGGGGGAATAATGTTTGGATATATGGATAGGAAGGGGTTACGGCCTGTTAATAAGACCAGAAAAAGTTGACCAAGATTTATTTTTACTTTTTTTATCTTTTTATTTTTTTGGAGACAGAGTCTTACTTTGTCCCCTTCAGTGGAGTGCTGTGGTGTCACAGCTCATAGCAACCCCCAGCTCTTGGGTTTAGGCAATTCTCTTGCCTTAGGCTGCTGAGTAGCTGAGACTACAGGCACCCGCCACAACGCCCAGCTATTTTTTTTTATTGCAGTTTGGCTGGGGCCGGGTTCAAACCTACCACCCTTGGTGTATGGAGCCGGCACCCTCCCCCTAAACTATAGGCACTGCCCAGACCAAGATTTAATATCAAATGTTCTTTAAGCTTTATCAATTATCAAAGAAATTTAAATGGTATAAATTTACATCCCAAACTGGGTTTAAATGGAAGGAGGAGATTTTGGTAGACAGTTCTCCAGGGTATCTTGAATTTCTGTATGTCCTGTTCACATAGATGCTAATTTTCTTTGTTCTGGACCATTCATTATTCAAGGATGGTTATAGAGCAGACAGCCTCAGAAAACTGAGATAGCATCCCATTCAGGAGCAAAGGACGGGCTTGTGTGTTGTCCAGTATGATGACACTGTTTTCTTCTGGGCCAAAAGTCAGGCAGGTTTATTGCCCTTAGGAGGGATTTGAATTCCCTAAACTCAATGTCCTTCTCCTGTAAGGCACCCTAGTATGTGTACAGGCATCACCTGACTCTTCTCATACTTCCCTGTAGGACTCAGAGTTCAGGGAAGTGGCTGAAACTCTGATACTCTAGCTACTGCTATTACTATGAGTAATGAAGTTGTTTGTTTCTGACCCAAGAGTCTCAAGTCTTCTGTCAGTATTTATGAAACTGTGTGAGGCTAAATTGATAGCTTGTAAATAGGGTACAATCTCAGACCTGTCATGGTTTTTTTTTTTTGAAACAGAATCTCACTCTGTCACACTGGGTAGAGTCCCATGGTGTTATAGCTCACAGCGACCTCAAACTCTTGGGCTCAGGAGATCCTCTTGAAAGCACATATAGTGAAAAAGACATGTCACAGCCGGTCTGGTTGGTTTAGGTCCTGTCTGACCTTTTTGCCCCTGCCTCCCATTCTTACTGTTTTGTAAATTTAGCTCCCACTCAAAGACACCTATCTTGAGTAGTTTAAGTGGACTCAATAGGAGATTAACTTTTAATGTTGTTTATTGTTTATGACTCATAGGTTCCAGCTGATTATTCAAGATAAGGGTTAACTCGGTCTTCACTTTGAACTTAAATGTATAAAACTGTAATGTTGGAAACAGAACAGAACAGTCTTGGAGAGGCTACTCTCACTGTTCTCCAGATCCTGGCCTTCTGACCACGTTTAGTGAACCTATCCGCCTCTGCATATTGGCTGACAGTGACAGATGGCCAGACCCTCTTTGTCCGATAATATTCTTGCTTCAGTTTTTCTATTTTTAGTGGAGATAGAGTCTTACTTTTGCTCAGGCTGGTCTTGAACTCCTGAGCTCAGGCAATCTACCCGCCTTGATCTCCCAGAGTGCTAGGATTCTAGGTGTGAGCCACCACACCTGGCCTCTGTCGTAGTTCTTGACAATAATATGTAGAATAGCAAAAAACAAAAGTGACAATGCTTTTATAATTACAATTGTATATTCTTTAGATGACCAAGAAGCCCAAATCACAGGGACATACCAATGAGATAAGGGGGATACAAGCTCACATAATAAAGCTACAACCTTCAAAAGTCATTGTCATCTGTAAAACTGAGAACTCTAAGTACAATGACAAGAAGGCCAGGTCTCTGGGTTGCCATTCTATCAGGGAACCTGAGCCCAGCTGGCAGGCTGGGAGGTTTCAGATTCCTTAAATCTATTAAAGGAATGTCTGTAAGGTAGACATTATAATTTGAAATAGAGGGCAGATGACTGGGTGTGATGGCTCATGCCTATAACCTTAGCACTCTGGGAGGCTGAGGCAGGAGGATCCCTTGAGCTCAGGAGTTCTAGACCAGCCGGAGGAAGAGTGAGATCCTGTCTCTACTAAAAATAAAAAAATTAGCCAGGTGCTATGGCACGTGTCTGTAATTCTAGCTACTTATAAGGATCAGTTAGGAGGATCTCTTGAGCCAGGACTATGCGTTTGCAGTGAGTTATGATGACACCACTGCCCTCTACCCAGAGTGACATAGCAAAACTGGAAAAAAAAAAAAAAAGGAAAGAAATAGAGGGCAGCTAGACATTTCTGTAGCATATGAAATTCAAAGCAAACTCAGACTAATTGCTGCTAATCAAACTGATATTTAACTCATAAACACATGTCACATACACAATTATGCTTTTAAAGATTTATCGAGGACCCCGGAAAGGTCTTGTTTATGGTGAATATATCTATGCTATGTGTGGCATTAGAGATTAAAACCAGGAAGGCCAAAAAAATGTTAATTTATTTAAAATGACAGCAATAAATAATTTCATATCAGCATAAATAATTTTTATGAAAATAACTCCACTTTCTAAAAGCACAAATTTTACTGCAGA